TTACAAAATATTGCTCGGGTATAGGATAACAGTTACTGTATGTGATATCTCAGAATTATCGAATATGATCGAGAAACTTAGCATAAGATAACTCTGTTATGTCAGTGACGTGGTCTCTACCAAAATTTGACTAAGTTCAAAAAGTCAAATACAAAATGTCAAAAAGCTTGGAACTCAATGTTCATGTACCAAACATGATTCTCACACACAAAGTTTTTAACCTCTCTCCACCCGTTCCTTAACATAATAATTTGAGGAACACTACTATTTGGGTGACATCTACCGAACAGATATGTAAATAGCAGAAACATAAGGAAAACTAAGACTGTATTCAACTTTAAATTTGTATAAAAGACAGAGAAGTGTTCATCACTCACTAACGCCGTCTGGCGTCTGTCTTTGGCTGTTGTTATCACACAGATATTTCTGTATTGAAATAAAACGTTCACTTTAATTTCGTAAATTGTTACAAAGTGATTCTTAATTAACTGCTTAATTTTCATCGCTAAAAATATAAACGTACTTTATTAGCCTAACTGAAGTGTTGTTTTCTGATACTTATAGCAACTAATACTATATACATAATCTCCAACACAGAAAGTTTCTACATATTTATATATTTAAACAGTTAATATAATATGTTATTATTACATTCGTTCCTCCGTACTTTAAGTAGCCCACAAATAGATAAGAACTATTCAAGTATGCAGACAGACAAACAAAATGTTTGTTATAATTACTACATAAAAACAGACAAGCGTGGTTAGGTGTAACTATTTGTTGTTGTTTGTTTGTTTTTAATCGTGTAATTTCTTGTTTAATTTTGTTCATTGACCCAAAAGCTCACTAGAGGAAACAAAGATTATACCATCATGTTCTGATCTTTCTCTTCTTTTAGGATGTTACCGAGTGACGTGTCTTGAGCCAAGCCAGCCAGAAGTACCTGTCTCAGAATCTAATGGAACAACAAGTGACACCGTCCCTGAAGGAAGTCGACAACTGTGTGTTCAGTTCCTAGATATGACGGACTGCCACTCCTTGGAGGACTCTGGGCTGAATGTGGTTGTCCGTAACTGTCCTCAGCTAACCCATCTCTTCCTTCGACGTTGTGTCCAGCTGACAGACGTGGCGGTCAAGTATATTGCTACTTACTGTGTGATGCTACGGGAACTTAGTGTTAGCGACTGTTTACAAGTTACTGATTTCGGTCTTTACGAACTTGCCAAACTGGGACCTAACCTACGGTACCTCAGTGTGGCTAAATGTCACCAAGTTTCTGATGCTGGTGTCAAGCAAATAGCTCGCCACTGTTACAAGCTGCGCTATCTGAACGTTCGAGGCTGTGAAGCCGTGTCCGATGACAGTATGGAAGTGTTGTCCAGAAGCTGTCCGAGGCTCCGGGCGCTGGACATCGGCAAGTGTGACGTCACAGACTACGGACTGAAGCTCCTGTCGGAACACTGCCCGAACCTGAAGAAGCTGAGCCTCAAGTCCTGCGACATGGTAACAGATAAAGGAGTCCGAGCTATCGCTTACTACTGTCGGGGTCTCCAGCAGCTGAACATCCAGGACTGTGCTATTACCGTGGAAGGTTACAGGATGGTGAAGAGATGTTGTAAACGTTGTATCATAGAGCACACCAATCCGGGCTTTTATTAACATGTAAATAAACACGTGTGCCGTACTGGACTGCGCCATTACCGTGGAAGGTTACAGGATGGTGAAGAGATGCTGTAAACGTTGTATCATAGAGCACACCAATCCGGGCTTTTATTAACAATGTGTAAATAAACACGTGTACCGTACTGGACTGAGCTATTCCTGTGGAAGGTTACAAGATGGTGAAGAGATGTTGTAA